CATATTCCCCTTTTATTTCCTAGTCCCCTCTCCTTTTTCTCCTCAGAAGGTAACTTTCCTCTCGTCCCCCATGTGCTACACACACACACACGCCGAACGTATTTTCGGACAGCAAGTTCATTGTGACATTCTTGGACTTGTCAACTTATCCCTCCTCCTATCTTATAATAACTGAAATACTACTTCTAATAATAATCTTCCATATCACGCAAACCCCCAGAGATCAGTTAAAGGCTCCTCTGCATAAAGGTGACGCGGACGACTTAACTAGGCTATAAAATTTATGAAAGGAAAGGGAGAGCCGCCATTCTGAATGATGGATATAATAATGTACAGTCATAGACGCTATAGTATGTAATCAGAGTCAGCAGAGGTTTACTATTTCCGAGAAGAGAGTGCTCTGTGTTTGCCATTGTTCGTATGCTTGCACTATTTATGTAAATTTTTTGTATAACTGCATCATCTATGTTCATTGTATACCTCCATCTATGTATACCTACACTGATTATGCACATTCTGAATTAATATAAACTTTTCATAATGATTTTACTGAATGAATATATATCTACCTACAAGACACTCACTTAACACGGGTGACATTTCCGTCCACTTGTCAATTCACTAGACGGCCTTTTACTTCGGTGTCTCTCTTCTCTTTGTCTGTAATAACATATATTTATCTTCGTGTCTTTGTTTATCTTATCTTTCAATCTTAAACAATTATCATATATTCCTGTCTATGACCTTCCTCACACCATATTTTCACAAAGACTCATTGGTATTAAAACACGCATATGTTTAGTTTCTGTAACATTAGAATTTTATATAATTTATATTACTGGTGGTATTCTTAAACTGAACGAGGAAAGTGTAAATAATTCCCGAGGAAGTACAAACGTTTTATTATCCAAATATAAAATTATAAACGTTATGTACCCGATGTTGTAGAATAAATCGGTCGTGGTTGAAGGACGGTATCTGTGGTCCTGTATTACGGAGAGTTTTCGTGAAATAGTAATGTTTCGTGTGATAAAATACTGTATTTTGATAAGGTAAAGTGACGATTTTTATGCGATTAAATATTTTGGTCGACTGGGGACAAGACTATAAGTATTTTTTGAGAATTTAATTGTTTTTGTCGGGTTGGAGGAGGGGGAGGAGGGGGGAGGGGGGGTTAATATGTATTTGTTTCCATTAAATACTATCACTTTTTGCTGTTGTTGATACACGTGAATAAGTGGTGTGTGAGGACAATGGTGTGAGTGAATTGGGACCGAGGTGATCTTGGTGTCTGGTGGTGGTGATCACCTCCTGGGGCTTCCTCGCCTTACAAGCGTCGGGTCACATGTCACGCTCACACGGGTAGGTTCCGGCACCCACCTCCCTCACCCCAACCTCACCCTTCCTCCCCCCTTCTCTGTATCGTCTTCCTTCATCCTACCTCGCTTTCCCTTCACCTCCTTCTGCTAGCCTGTCCCCTCCATCCCCTCCTCCGCTAGCCTACCCTCTCCGTCTTCTTCCTCCAATATCCTGCCCTGTCCATATCCTGCCCTCTTTGTCTCCCTCCTCCACTATCCTGCCCTGTCCACCTCCTTCCACTATCCTGCCCTCTTTGTCTCCTCCTCCACTATCCTTCCCTGTCCACCTCCTTCCACTATCCTGACCTCTCCGTCTCCTCCACTCCAATCCTGCCCTGTCCACCTTCCACTATCCTGCCTCTCCGTCTCCCCCTCCTCCACTATCCTGCCCTGTCCACCTCCTTCCACTATCCTGCCCTCTCCGTCCTCCTCCACTATCCTGCCCTGTCCACCTCCTTCCACTATCCTGCCCTCTGTCTCCCTCCACATCCCTGTCCACCTCCTTCCACTCATCCTGCCCTCCGTCTCCTCCTATCCTGCCCTGTCCACCTCCTTCCACTACCTCCACTATCCTGCCCTGTCCACCTCCTTCCACTATCCTGCCCTCTTCGTCTCCATCCTCCACTATCCTGCCCTGTCCACCTCCTTCCACTATCCTGACCTCTCCGTCTCCCTCCACTAACTGCCCTGTCCACCTTCCACTATCCTACCCTCTCCGTCTCCTTCCTCCACTATCCTGCCCTGTCCACCTCCTTCCACTATCCTGACCTCTCCGTCTCCCTCCACTAACTGCCCTGTCCACTCCCCCCTTACTTCATCTCTGTTCTTATTTTGCATTTCTTTCTTTCTTTGTGTTTCTAATTTATTCTGTTAGTTTCTTTAATTTCTTCCTTTTATTTTTCCCACTTTCCTTTGCATTCTCTCTCCCTCTCTCTCTCTCGTAGTCTCCTGCCTTTCCATGTGGCTGTAAGAGCTGTATAATATCCACTGCCTTCCAAATTTCTCGTCACCTCCTTGCACTCTTTCACTGTTTCTTATATTAAATGTAATTCTTGCACTCTCACCCATCCTATTTGTGTCTCCGTTACTTTTCTTCTTCGTCTTCTGTTTCGCCTTTTTCCCTCTCATTTCCTTCGGGCTTTTCTCTAACAAGTTACATCATTTCCTTGCTACCCTTCTTCTTCCATCCTAACCTAACCTAACCCCCTCCCCTTCTATTCCCTCATACCCATTCTTCCACCCTCTCCCTACTTCCTCGTCTTCACAACCTTAATCCTTCCCTCAACTTTCTCCTACTTCCTTGTCTAGCCTATACCTCCGTCCTGCCCATCACTTTCACCTCCTACTCCTCCTCCTCCTCCTCCTCCACCCGTGTAACACTTTCATGGTCGTCAAGTGACTCGGGCAGTACGTCTTTCTGTTGCTATCTGGAAAAGCTTTAGTTAATCGTCCCCCTCTCTCTCCCTCCCATCTCCCCTCCCGGAATGTCACTATCAGCTGGTAGGGCCACGTGTACGGTCGTCCTTGAACAAGTGGGCAAATGAGGAAGCCTTACGTGGGAGCGGGTCATGGGACATACTTCCTAGCCCCATTAGTCCCTGTTCACCTAGCAGTATTGTAGGTACCTGTTGTAAATCGAAAGTTGCGAATTCGTATTCAGGGACAAGTTGTTGGAGCTTCCAATAACTTGATGACATACACGATTGACTCGTCAAGCTTCTACGCCCTTGACTCTTCAGGCTTCTACGCCCTTAACTCATGAGACATAAAGGCAAGCATGAACTTAGCAAGCTTCCCTGTTGGGCACTGTAAACGCTTCTGCGCTTCACCTTACACAAGGATGTAGGGGGGTGCCTCCCCCCCCAAAAAAATAGTCTCTTTTGCCCCCTCCCTCTCCATCCCTTCTCTGGGTGGCGTGCCTCCGTGCTAGAGGGTAGAAAGTCCGTAACAGTATTAGCGCTATCGTAAAAGTGCGTTACTGTCGGCAGATAGCAGGTGAAAGTTATAGTGTCAGTAATTGCAGTTTCCGTCCCTGTGTCAATGTAAACCTGTATAACGATTATACTGACTACCTAACTAATGTTGTGGAGGGGTACGTCAGTCACGAGTGGTTGCTCGTTTTGGTGCTATTGGTGTGGTTTTAGCGTAGAAGTTTATTTTGACGAAGGTCAAGTGTGTTATAGACTCTGCCTTTCTGGTTAATCTCACATCAAATGGGCCACTGGTAATATTGACAGAAGGCTCCCCTTTGCCAATCTGGGTTCGCCAGTCATTCTCCTCACACATTTATGCAATTAAATGTATTTGACACCTGCTTCTCGCTGTAAAATGTTTTTATAGTGAAAGGAGAAATTCTAGACTGGCAAGGTTAAAAGAATCAGTTCAAGATGTCACTGACTGCTCATCGATTTGTTAATGCTGTCCAATATTCCAAGTTTAATAGCCCTACACTGTAGCAGGGTGGGTGCCACAAAGCATGAACCGCTAGCTAAATACAGTCTCTAACCAATAAGATTAGATTAAGAGTAAATATAAATTATCAACCATTCCTTGATCGTAAGCTTACTATGTGCAATATAAGTAAAGAGAGCAGATTTGTGTTGTACCGGCACTATCACCAGTCTCAAATGTTTTCAATAGGAACTGCTAAAAAGCCTACATCACTAAAAAAAAATACAGTACGTGCAATAAACTGCTGTCATCCTGAAATACTAAAACCAGCTAAACGATCTCAACTAAGATGAGCATTATAATGAACTTTTTTAATATGAAGTTTAAAGCATTACATTAAACTTTTATTTTTCATTGTGGTTCTGTAATTCATGTATATGTTTAATAATGTCTTTATATTTCAAGTTCTACAATTAAAAAATAAAAGTGACTGGAAACTTAAAACTGTTACTTTACACATAAGATATACTGTACAATAGAGACTCGAAGCATTAAAATTATATCCGTCTAATTGATTTTCGCATTTAGGTACAATGTCAGATTCACGAAAATATCCTACCGTCACTAACACAATAATGAATTCGTTACTATTTCATACTTTGCCAATTTTCGATTAATGAATAATGATACGCCAAGTCGTCTGTGGATGGTATAAGGTTTGTTAGTGGTAAACCAATTATGGTCCATTGTCGCGTAGGGTCATTTAAGTGATTTAACAACGTGTACATACCGTAAATGTCTAATTCTATCAATGCCTAAAAATATAAAGTAAGTTAACTAACGTATTCACGAATAACACACGAGGCTACCTTGCACATTGTCATTCAACAGTAACCAGAGAAAGTTGGATCAATACTCTTCAAAGCAGTATACTTGATTTATATCGAATTTAATCTAACACAATGTAAACTGATTATATCATTATGTTATGTCAGCCGTGGGAAGATTATTTATGGACACAATTCACCAGATTGATAAAAACGTGGACTATTGAGACTCGACTTCTCTCCTCAGTTCCACTCGGCTTTCTCCAGTAACTGGTTAACATTGACGTTGCAGTTTAAATAGTTTACACTTTCCAAAACCAGCATTAGCTGTTTTAACCCCCCTAATGTGTTATCTTAGTCTAACATATGATTGTCAATGCACGGTATTGCACGTGGCATTTCCCTCGTGTGTGTGTGGACTTACCCCGTCTGAATATGAATCGATCTGCATCTTGTTGCGGCTTTTTACGTTGGTGCTGCTAATTCGATTTCTCTTTCGTTACACCTTAGAATCGAGTCGAAATTCACATAGGATTTACTCCAGGAGGCAAGTCCGTAGGTAGGTACACATTAACAGACGAACACAGTACCAGCTTCACAGGGAGGGTATTAACAAGAGAGAGAGGTTGTGAGGGAGCAAGCCACCCAGATACCCAACAGAGCCTGTCTAGCCTGCCACTGAGCCAGAGAGAGCTATGGCCTCTGCCCAAACGACAGTACCTCGCCCTCACACCCCACCACACACACACACACACACCCCACCACACACACACACACACACACTCACACACCCCCCACCACACACACCCCACCACACACACACACACACACCTCACTTCAGTTTCAACTATTGGCACACACACACTCACGCCTCACCACAGAGATCTCACATTAGTAACTTAGAATACACACTGAAAGACCTTATTTATTGAAGGGAAGTAATACATTATAAACTATCAGACCTCGAGCTGTTGGAACGCGTCTCTGAACAGCTCGTTTACCTGTAAATGGTGTTCATTCTAGTACAAATTATTTATCATCCTGTTGTATATATGAAGTAACTTGATCAATATCTGAGAAATGAAAACAAAATTCGGTTAGTAACTGGACTGTAATTATATTCTAGATATCAAGGAAGGAGTTGAAGTAAACGTTAGATCTGTGGATACTCCGGTTTGAAATTTTATTTTATTTGCGTCTTGTTGCTTAATTAATGGGGTTTATTCTTTGTAATTTAACAGTTTGTAATCTTATGAGTGTCCAGTTGCTAACGATTGAACATTGAATGAAAATGGCGCTTACACAGGAGGAAGCTCGGTGTGTCATCTGGTTGGAAGAGAAGTATTTAACTTCCTTGACGAGAATTTCCCTGTCAGATGGATTGGACGTCATGGGACCGCTTCTTGGCTCCCACGGTCTCCATGATATTACGCTCTTAGATTTCCTGTGGGTGTACTTTAAAGATGATGTTTGCCTGACCCCAGTCTCTGACCTGGAGCTGGCGGACGCTCGCGCCACAAGGAGTCACATATTATCAGTTTTGAACTGACCATCACTAAGGTTCAAAACTAAGGTTCAAAACTGATATGTTACATAAATTTATTTGTCAATGGCCCAAGGTTAAAAATGCTTTCAAAACCTTTGATCTAGATGTATGATAGTATATATATATATATATATATTGATTGATTTTGTGTAATACATTTTCAAACGTGGAGTAGGACTTAGTGGACATGCTATATTACTACGCTTCAACAAGGTCTTTAAGTGTGTATCCTAGACAAAACTAAATAAAAATTAAGAGACCTAAAATCTTTGATCAGAATTGAGGGAGAAAGCGATAGTACACAGTATCTGATAATGGAGGGTAAAAACCCGACAATCCTCAGTTTTCTATGTGGCACAACTTTTTCTTAAGCATGGTATTGAAATGATAAGTATATTTTATAGAGAAACAAGTTTTGTCCTTCAGGGGCAAGTTTGCTTTCATTACTGTTAAGAGAAAGTGTAGACAACTAAAAAGGGAGGAGATGCAGTAAATAGTAGATAAACAGACAAATGAATATATCTTTGATGAATACTCGGTATCTATCGATCTGTAATACTTGAATGTCAACAAAATTAATAACAACTTGCTTATACTCACATGATTTATAAGAGCTACCAAATGATGCTCAGTGACCCTCCCTCACATCTGTAGTTCCTAAACATAAGAAAAAGTATACTCCCACAGCCTAGGTACACTATACCAGCACTGTCTTGGTATTACATAAGACACTATACTCCCACAGCCTAGGTACACTATACCAGCACTGTCTTGGTATTACATAAGACACTATACTCCCACAGCCTAGGTACACTATACCAGCACTGTCTTGGTATTACATAAGACACTATACTCCCACAGCCTAGGTACACTATACCAGCACTGCCTTGGTATTACATACCTGGTACACTATACCAGCACTCCACTATACAGCCTAGGTACACTATACCAGCACTGTCTTGGTAATACATAAGACACTATACTCCCACAGCCTAGGTACACTATACCAGCACTGTCTTGGTATTACATAAGACACTATACTCCCACAGCCTAGGTACACTATACCAGCACTGTCTTGGTATTACATAAGACACTACTATCCCACAGCCTAGGTACACTATACCAGCACCTTGGTATTACAGGTCCCACAGCCACTATACCAGCACTGTCTTGGTATTACATAAGACACTATACTCCCACAGCCTAGGTACACTATACCAGCACTGTCTTGGTATTACATAAGACACTATACTCCCACAGCCTAGGTACACTATACCAGCACTGTCTTGGTATTACATAAGACACTATACTCCCACAGCCTAGGTACACTATACCAGCACTGTCTTGGTATTACATAAGACACTATACTCCCACAGCCTAGGTACACTATACCAGCACTGTCTTGGTATTACATAAGACACTATACTCCCACAGCCTAGGTACACTATACCAGCACTGTCTTGGTATTACATAAGACACTATACTCCCACAGCCTAGGTACACTATACCAGCACTGTCTTGGTATTACATAAGACACTATACTCCCACAGCCTATGTACTGTATCCCTACATTGTCTCTCTTCATGCTGAACTGTATACAGGACCAGCAAAGTTTATATACATGCCTATCCATGACAATTTTACTGAATTATTATAAATATTATTAGTAGTACCCTGTAGAAGTTTACCCTAGAAAAGAATGAAAAAACGGATATACAGATATAAGTGTGGATGTCGGTCACGCTAGAATAACCTGTTATAGTACAATACATCATTCTTTCCTTACTTTTACTTTTATCCTCTTCGCCACTGATCGGCTCATTAGCCGCTTGGGCGATCGGTCACGTCTCTGTCACGCACTGTTGGCAAAAACTGGGCATGCACCGGCTCCTGAATGTACCTGAACCCACTCCAGTGTTGGTCAAGTCTTGTCTTGAAACAGCTCACACTCGGTGCCGTCACAACACTCTCTGGTAGATTGTTCCAAGAGTTTACAACCCTCACTCCGAAAAAGTTTGCCCTCACGGTTTTCTGGACTTGCGGCTTCTTCAATCTTGAGCTGTGACCCCTTGTGGGGCGAGCGTCCGCCAGCTCCAAGTAAGGACATTCAACTGAGTAGTGCCCCCTGAGATGCTTATACACCTCAACTAGGTCCCCCCTTGCCCATCTGTAGTATAAGCTAGGCAAGTTCAGGCGCTCCAATCTCTCAGGGTAGCCGAGGTGCCGAAGTGCAGGCACCAGTCTGGTGGCCCTCCTTTGAACATTTTCAACCAACTGACAGTCCCTAGCATATCTCGGGGACCAGATGGGGTGATAGTACTCCAGATGGTGAAGCACTTCACTCCTGAAGATCATTACGAGGGACGGACCGTCTAGATATCTGAACGACCTTCTTATAAGACCCAATAATATATTTGCCTGATTTACCTTCTTCTCGCAATGGCCCGAGAACTTCAGCTCATTGTCAACATACACACCTAGGTCCTTCTCGCACACAGTCTCAAGTAGTGCAGTTTCTTCATCCCGCTGGGACATATGATACGCCTCCTTACTGTTGGTACGCCCCAGGTGCATCCTCTTACACTTCGTGACATTGAATCTCAGCAGCCATTTCTTCGACCATTCCTGGAGCCCACAGAGGTCCTTCTGCAGTTCTTCACAGTCCGCTTGGTTCTTAATTTCCGAAATAACTTGGGCTTATCGGCAAACATTTGTATGGAGGAGTGTACAACGTCAGGCATGTCATTTATGAAACAAACAAACAGCGGGCCCAATACACTGCCCTGTGGTACCCCACTTGTGACAGGTACAGATGACGATTTCGTGCCATTAATCACCACACACTGCTTGCGGTCATGTAGAAAGTCTTCTATCCACGCTAGGACATTTCCCCGAATTCCGTACCCTTCCAGTTTGATTTTCAGCCTTTCGTGGGGTACACTGTCGAAAGCCATGGCAAAATCTAGGTAAATATTGTCTGTATTACCACCCCGTTCGAGAATATGGGTCCAAATATCCAATACCTTGAGCAATTGTGTTAAGCAGGAGCGTCCCGGCATAAAACCTCTCGAAAATACTAAAGCAAAATTTGCACAATTAGATGTGCCAAGGTCCTGAAAAGTAGGAGGGTGTAAATCATTTGAGGTAGATGGCATGAACTAACCAAACTAAACCTAACTAACTTAAAAAAGAAAAGGATAGGTTAACTTTGGTTTGGTTGGTTCATTTGTTGTCATGTTAGTCAGAGATTAGAACATTCTTTTAAAGTGTTTTCCATTACTGAATACAGTTTTGTGATGCACCCTTTTTTATTTCATATGTATAATGCAATATCTTCTGTGATTTATACATGTGATATATTTCACGACTATATCGTAAAAGGTACAGGAATTACAGTAATCTCCAATCTTTCTACATACCAAAAAAATTAGGTGACAAAGTACCTGGTTGGGAGTCCATCTAACACCAGGTGAGAAATAAAAGGAAAATGCAAAACAAATGTGATGATCTTATATCTATATTCTCATTTATTCATGAGTTAATATCAATGACTAACATCAAAAATAAGCTTTGAGCCAATTAAATATTTTTATAATAGCTGTTGTTACAAGTACATCAGTATAGTTGTATATGTACATGTTTAGCAATCAGACGCTGTGTTCCTCATACAAAGTTAACATCTAATTTGTTCGGTACAATATAAAAGTAAACATCATATTCCCTTCTTATAAATATATATCGCATCATAGAGATCGTCCATCTACCCTATTACAAATTTCTAAATGTTTGTAAAATATGTTTACCTTAATCCAATTACAAAATCATATCTTCCTCTTATGATTAGTTCATTAAAAGCAAAACACCTACACAATTACCTTATATACTGGTAAGTAGAATATGAAATCAAAATTTCTTGATAAATATGTTTTTACATAACAATGAGATTTCTTTTTTTTTTTGTACTTTTCTCATGAATGGAGATCATAATATTCAGACATAGCAGACAAGGGTATACTACAGTATCTGTTGGTAACTAGTGTGGGAAAAGTAAACACAAAAAGATAATGCTTTGTGGGAAGAGACAGAGAAAACACCTTTTGAATATAGTTCCACAGCCATGAGGACTCAAGTCCCTTTAACCTGTGAATAAAGGGTAAACTAAAAATATACATTAACAACAATAAATGAAAAATCAACCTAAAATTATAAATTACAATATATAAAGGTATAACACGAAAATACAGTGGTACCAACACTTGCCGAGCATAGTAAAAATGGCTTTGGCTTCAGTTCCTTGTACGATCCAACAACAATCAATTCCTCAAGTACTGAGGCAGAAGGCAATATTTGCTTTTTTTTATCTTACACTAATATGCAGTCTTATAGTAGCTACCAACATTGATTCTGCTACATAATGTGTATACTGTACTCCTGGATGTCAAAAAATTCACACAAATTACTTAATTATTTATTGCAAGTAGCATTCTGTTCTTCATAATATATGTAACAAGTATAATACTCTAATAATATATAGAAATCTTGTCTTGACAGATTACTTTAATGTTACTTAGAAGCTGCACAGGCAAATTATGGGTCAATTTTACATTTCTTTACTTGTCTTTTCATCCTCTCCATGATAATTCTGCTCCTTGCACAAGATCACCCATTCTTATCACAGAACACGATGCACATTCATTGCTTCAAACGATCATTACAACTGATCAATAACTAGCACATGACTTAAGTCTCTTATACAAAAAGTGTTAAAACATAATAATGCATTTATGAATCAGACATACAGTACTACAATGAATTAATCATTTTCTGTACAATCTAATCACAGAACTCATTAACAGCTCAGCACCCAGTTTCCTTTGAATACCTGCCGGTTTACAGAATATCCTAATAAAGATCTATAAAGAATGCTTGTTCATCGACTAGCAAAGGTCAAAGTGTTTAGACTTTGTTCTCTTGAGCAAAAACAGCATAAGGAACTCAACAAGCCTACAAAAATATAAGAGATATGATTAGCCATCAAGAGAATATAAGGCTCCTACATAAAGAAGGGTTTCCTTTGAACAAAACATAAAGTAAGTAGACTACATCAGCAAACACACTTTCACATTCGTCTGTCTCGGACTACACCTAATTTTTACCACCTTCCCATAGACTCTCGGTCATCTTGGGATTAACTTTGTAAAACTACAAGAACAGAGTAAACACAAGGCAGTAATAATATTCCAGATTTCTACTACCTGTACTGTATATATAAATGCTCTCACTAGATATTTGTCACCGGTACTACAGATAATAAGGGGCTCCAGTATCTGATTAGAGCAAACAGAACTGTTGTATCAACCTTAGCATACTGTACTCGTATCTTACCCAATAAAAGAAATATTATTTGAGGAATAAATATGTTAAACTAAAAAAAAATTAACTGACTTGATTCTTCTATTGTCCAAGGTTTACCTCATACAGTACTTGTGCAGCAAAGGTGAAAGTACTTAACTACATGTTGTGCATTACATAAAATTTTAATTCTTATATGATATAACTTCTATTGTTTGAGTCTTGTAAAGTTCCACATGCAAGTGGTGATAGTACACATGAAAAAAACACCGACAATTTAAAAAAAAGAATACTGCCACACAATATTTTAGTCATGATATGCCGGAAAGTTATTTTAAGCTCTTCTCTATATGAATTACAAAACCCACTAATAGAGCAACACAACCGTAGTGAGAACCAGTAGACTGTACAGTACAGTACCATGTGGAACAAAAGGCAACTCTCAGCTGATAGTAGGCCAGGCTTTAATTGAACTGTGCTAATATTATCTGTATTATTATAAATTCAAAATACTTTGTGTGCTGGAAATACTGATGAAGGTTACTACAGTACTGTATTAGCTACTTTGGCCGAAATGAGATTTTTTACTAAACAGAATATTGAAGGGTAAATTAGGACTATAAATGTCTAAGTACCATACTTGTCTTACACTAGTAGTCTGCATAGCAGATATATTAACTGGGGAGTTCTTACTGTCTTCAGAGAACATCTACAATAGTGAACACCACATTAGCCTCTTACTGATAAAAATACAGTAGCCTTGTTTGTTAATTCAAATAAACTTCTCTTTTGGTGTATACAATAATAGGAAATAAAATAAGTTATAAAGCACCAGGTGATAATGGACAAAGAAATGTAATGAATGAAAAGACTTGCATGAAGGATCTTTAAATAAGATGTACAACACTGTGAATTATAGTGGAATGCAGTGTGCAGCACAATGTTCCTTTGCTTCTTGAATAATAAAATAAATTAATAAATATGAGAAGCTTTCATTTCACGGATCAGTCATTTCCTTGTTCTAGAACATTTAAAAGCGAAAAAAAGCTAAATATGGTAATAGAATTATAAGCTCTACCTTTACCAATCTTACCATCATTTTGGTCTGTTCTATGACTGCTAAGATTGATTTTGTACATTATAAGTTTTTCTGGGGTCCCGATGTATTAATTTGATAAACTCATGGTAGCTACAGTATATGTTAGCATGCCATGAGTACAATAACTTGAACAAACAGAAACCATATCTCAATGAAACATTGGAGTATAACCCAACAATTTCTCTGAATTTTAATTAATCAGTGTTTTCTCCCACTGTTTTGGACAATAATGGCCACATCCATCTGTCCAGGGGTACTTACACATAGGTGTCTGGGATGCCTTCTACAGACAGAGACCCAAATTTACCAAATCTTATGTTTCGTGATCTCAACACACTTAAAAATATTATGGGCTTACCATAAATGTACCCTATTTACAACTCTTCAGCACAATGGAGTTGGTTTGTGTTCACCTTAACAGTTTAACCATACATTGAACTGTTTGTTTTGTGAAGGACTTAGAACTGCTCAATCTTTCTTAGCATTAATTTCCATTAATTATAATAAGATATAGTTTGCTGTCAAACATTTGTTAAAATTTATCCAAAACAAATATCTGAATACCAGTAATTCCTATAAATCACTTGTGCTACACATGTTTGTTATTCGATAAATGGTTTTCAGTGAAGGGAAAAGTAGTTTCGTTCTAAATATTCTCTATAAGTAGAAGACCTTTTACTGACAGCTTTGCTATCTATGAAAGAAAGAGAACATTATTATTGTTTGTGAATTGTAATCAGTGCCTCTATAGTACCTATACTGTACACAAGGAACATTTTTTTGGATAATTTTTGTTTTAGGTTTACAGAGAAGCATAATAGTACTGACTGCCACCTGAGGTCCTGTGGCAGTGGTTTAGGTTAAGTCACATTGCTCAAACAACATTCTTAATCACATACACTACAAGTATATACCAATGAATTTACATGAGACAATGTATCAGTACTCAAGTGGCTATGATCAGGAAAATTCTCCCAACGACATGACTACAGTACTGAGCTTCTCCCACAGTAGGGTTTGTGGGAAACACTCATTACTTAATTGCAGGATTGACACTAAGATTAGTTTCCCACAACAGGTAAACACCTAATCCAGGAAACTGAAACTTAAAATTTGTTTCTTCAACTGGCTGAAAGAATATTTCAATACAGTACTGTAATTCCATAATACAGTACAACGTTTTATTGTTACATTATATGGAAATTTTATGTTTTACTCCATTAAAATTTTAAAAAATAAAATAGAAATATTAAACTAAAATTCTTTAAAAATATTTCCTTTTATTTATTAACATTAAAAAAAAAAAAAAAAAACCAACAAGGCAAAAAGTAATTAGCTTGAAGAAAAGAATAACTAAAGTCACTTGCTGCCTGAGTGGACTAGTACTGTACTGCATTGCATATTAAAAAATTAATGTCAAGCCCTGAATTATCCCTGTAACACGTCACTGGCTAGTTTATTGGGGTGGGACACACTATACACCAAGGGCTCGAGTGAAGGGAGTGAGATGAAGACGTAACACTTGGGCGTAAGTCAATGGTCGATACACTTGTTCAGCAACTTCTTGAGCTTGCTGGTGCCAACACATGTCTGTTGAGGAAATCATCTCATTAGTGTAAGAAGCAACAGGAATGGCACAACAAAATGTAGAAATGTCTACACACATCGGCTTATGTCATCAAATTGCATATCAGTATACAGGTAACTCGCGTTGTACTCATGTTTGATTTAAGCATTTTTGGAATAACACGATTGTTCAATTAATACCAAAAGCTAATTTATGCGCACTTATTTTTTTAAATAACTCGCTCAAGACAGTTTAAATTTCACGCGTGTATTCGCCCAGTCGCCTGGCAGTGGAGTCGTTTGTAATGCCTGGTGAGGTGCTTGTAAGTTATTACTATAAAGTCACAGTCATATCAACATCAACAATTTTAATATTATTATTAATAATAATTATTATTATAATCATGTAATAATAAAGATTATTACTACTACGGTAATGATGAAGATAATGAAGTATTCTGTACAACTATGATGACGTTCAGCAAGCTTCCCGCGTATCACTTCCTCAGTTCACACCAGCACTACTTTTTCTCTGTGCTTTCATTTGCATGGTGTGTTTATCACGTACCTTTTTAGTGTTAAACACTATTTTCCCCATTGAGCATGTCTGGAAAACGTCCATCTGCCTCCTCTGGGGCGCCTAAAGCTAAAATGGCACGAAAAGCAATCGCAATGGACGTGAAACTAAATGTGATCACCCACCTTCAGGGAGAAGAGCGTGTGTCGGAGGTTGGCCGCGTGCTTGGTTTAAGCGAGAGCACGGTTCGTACCCTGTGCGGTATATGATGGTTCCCATAACCTGTACCATTTACATGTACAGTGATCCCTCGGTTAACGAATTACCTTCCATAAGCATATTCAATTCGGTTAACGAAAAAAATTCGGTTAACGAATTCCTTACGAATTTTTCGCAACATGTTTTCACCTGCTCACCAGCTGTAGTATTAGTCCGCCAATACAGTAATCGGTTTTAGGGCTTAAATTCGTTACCATTTGAGTAAATATCAAGAAGGTTGTACTATTCAATAATTTTCCAAGTCTTATATTAAAATTTTTAGTCATTTTAACAATTATTTAACATAATTGAAGTACAGGAACTAGTTTTTAGCGAACCAAACAGCCACTTGACTCACCCAGAATGGCGTCAGTGTGTGTCCCTGCTCAGTGGAGGAAGCATCTTGCTTGAGACTCTCTTGAACATAAACTATTTTTACGTTTTTACAGTACAATTATTGGTCATTCTGAAGTTTATTTTACATATTGACAATATATAATGCAGTGCAGTGTTGATTTAAAGAAAATAATCTTGAATTACACCAAGTGAACTAAAATTTTATGGGTGAAATGGCGACATGAAGCATGGGGTGACTTCTCTTCCACCCCAATGCCCTCTCTTCTCCCTTCTCCTCCACCCCTATTCTAATTCCCATCATCAGCAACCAGGAGCCTTCTACATGCACACCTCAAAGTAAGTGTACTTTACTGCATTTATTTTTAGTTTGTATGTAATTTTTGGTGAGTTGGAACCAATTACCCAAAATCCCATTGAAACAATGGTTTCGGTTAACGAAATTTTTGGTTAACGAACGACCTTCTGGAACGAATTATGTTCGTTAACCGAGGGACCACTGTATTCCTATGGAACTTATTTTAATTTACCCCTGCGTAAAACGAGAGGTGGGGTATAATACTAAGTGACCTTCATTACTCAAGTATAATAGTCCCACAGTACTCTACAGTATTTTGGTCTATATATAACCTTCTCCATTCACCTTAACACATTTTTTAGTGGGTGGCTGATGGTTGTAATCACCAAAGGTCTTCATCTGGCTACACATATACAGGTAATTCTTGTTTAAATTAATGTCATTTGTTCAGTTTTCTCCACAAGTGAATATAGAGCACAATACCAGATAAATAACTTTTAACTTGAATAACAAAGGCAGTACTGTACACTCGCCACAAAATGTTCTCGAGTGCTCTAAGGGTCTAACACCATGACAAAATAAATGAGAAATCTGAACATTGCTCTCCGAGGAAGTTTAATTACAAATTAAATTACTTCTTTTCTCCCGTAAATACTATAAAGACTAGCAACATATATTATTATAAAATACCGAGTCACTTCGTAACCAGGACCAGGCATACCAACCACTCTGAGGTGACACGAACCATAGTGTACATGTAATGCCTAAGGGACCTGTGTTTGTTACATTTTTTCATAGTCCAAGTTAACAATGTGATAGAATGAACACTGCCATATATGTACCTAAATAAGGACTACAGGTATTTATTTACCATTGCAGTAAGAAGCTGCCATGGTCACAGGTTGTGGGTCATTCAAAATAGTGCATTGTATGCTGTCCATAAATACTGTGTTGATTCTTTGGAAAAGTTTTCAACAATATTTTTCAAAAGTGTCAGTTTTCTGATACTTCCAGGGTAAATAGTTCCTGCATTTTTGAGGTTCTATCATGGAATAAACAATGAATTTTATGTTCAGTTCCTATGGAGTTATGAAGAGGATGTGGATAATTTTCCTAAACACAGTACAGTACAGTAATTTAAACAGTGTAACAAATAAAGAATTTTACACAAATCAAAGCAAACAAAAAGTATAGGTAATCTCACCTTCTTTCTTAACAACTAGGTGACGAATATCAGGAAACTCTGGGCTGGTGGGGGAAAAGACGGGAGACTTGAGTAATCCAACTGGTTCTACGAGCGGTCCTTCCCAATCCTGGCTGTTATCCTCATATTCCATATCAATATCTTCCTCTTCCTCGTCTTCTTCACAAGGTTCCTCAAATATCTTCTTGGTCGCAATCAACGAAATTTTACAGGGGATTTTAAGTGCCTGTTTAAGAGAGCTCCTAACCGATGCCTTGGCTTTGAAAGTTGGCTTCATTTTCTTCTTCTTTTTCTTTGAGCTATTGTTCTTCTTGGTGTTAGGAGTCTTGCTGGATGACACTTGAGTTGAAGGGAGAGAGTCATCATGAACTGGAGCAGGTGAAGAGTAAAGGTGACGAATATCGATGTAAGTCTCGTCTAATTCCTCTTGACTGTACGACGGATCCTTCACAGGAGTAACAGTTGTATTTCTAATCTGTGATGGCAAAATGCACAATTGTAGGATTTTAGTTAAATTATTATTATTTATTGAATATGAGCAACCTAGAGTAAAAATTAACATATGAAGCATTAAAAATAACACTACAGTATTATAATTATATTCACCATTAACGCAGACCCCTTAAGACAAGACATTAATACACTACAGTACTTTGAATTCTGATTAAAACTACACTTTTCCTTACTAAGAGATCTGTCAAAAAGGGCATAAACCTTCACTCAACAGAGAAAAAAGTAATTTAAAACCTAACCTAACCTGTGGCTCTAGATATACTGTATATTGCAGACTGACAATTATGTACAGTCCCCTTCACTAGCATGTTTACAGGGGCTCGTCATATAAACATTCTGAAAAATCATTACACCGAGATATTTGTTTTAATGTTATTTTAATTTGATTCCATAGTATGTTTAATAATGCGAGTTTTCTTCTGTCGAATGTAAACCAACTCAGGACTCCCATACTGTACAAACCCTGTAAACACACCAGTGAAGGAGACTGTACATGGACAACCAATACATTCACAGGTCTTTCCCTCACACAACTCCCACGTTCTCTTTCTCTCATTTTGCCATCAATTCACTGTGTAAAACATGACCATTCAAACATATGCTTGGACTAACCTTTTCATAAGCATAGAGTTTCTTAATATCCACATACACATCATCTTCCGGCTCCAGCGACTGAGCCACCTTTCGTTTGTTTGGCCGTGAAGGAGGAACGTGTTGGGTGTTCTTTGGGGAGGTGTTGTGGGGAACCTGTGGCATCTGGTATGGCTCCTCTCCCAAGAGTTCCTGTACCAACTCTCGAGCACTGGCCAGCTCATCGTCACCCACCTGTGAAGTATAAATAAGGGTCATAATAATGTTTATACTTTGATTGGCCTGTGTTAATACTGTAATCTCCGTGTTGTTGCTAAATAGTGTATGTAATTTATCAACAGAACATTTAAGAATACAAGCGAGACCCACAACATTTAAGGTGTATGTTAATAAATGTGCAGCTCATACCACTGACTTCAACCAAAAATCTATAGTTCCTACATTTAGGGTCATATTTTATCAGTAAAAGCAAACTGGATTAAAATAAAATTAACACATACAGGACTGGATAAATTGATATTGTACTAGGTTAGGTTATGTCAGGTCAGGTATGGTATGGTTAGGTTAGGTTAGGTCAGGTATGGTTAGGATTATTCCCTACAAACCAGTATGAATAAAGACCTCTACAATACAGGAGATCCAAGTTAAAACTTTTGGGCTTTAGTGGTGAGACATTCAAGTCAACTTACTGCTGCTAAATTATAATACTGTACAGACTACAAGTGAGGTAAAGGTACAAGCAGTGGTGGGCTAACTTTTCGTTTAGCTGTGCCCACCACTGGGTACAAGTTTAATAATTCAATGTAAATAACCAGACCATTTTATACTTACCTGACAGGGATCGGTATACACATAAGGTTAAGATTGTTTAAACCTGGAAAGGACTGAAGCCTTTTCTAGAGTACCTAGAGTAACTTAATTAACAAACCAAGTGAGGAGATGTGTATGAGATGGTATTCTTGGGGCCACAAATAGACTGTTCAAAATGTATTGCTTTAATTTTCTTGGCTTTTTCTAGATACTGTACATCACCACCACCCTGCATACCTTACTACTGTACAGTCAAAACTCAACCCCAAGATGTAACCTCCAGAATTCATGTGCAGTTCACTCACCATATCACTTGTAGCAGTAAAACACAGGTAGGTAGTGAAGCACTGACCTGGGTGAGGGCCTGGAGCCAGAGCATCAAGCCTGGTTCAGGGGTGGAAGCATCCAATTCAATGGAGAGCAGTGCCAGACTCAAGAGGGAGGGTCTCACACTCCCACTACGGCTAGAACACACCACTCGCCACAGTCGTTCAGTGAGGTAGCTCAGCTGACGTGTTGGTGACCCACTCCTGCGAAGAGTCTTTCTTATAAGATACACTTTTAAACAGGAAGAAGGAAGCATTAAAACTTGAGAGGAGACACTGCAGCTTTACACTGTGTGCCACGATGTGTTATGTGCAGTGACTCACATTAACTACTGTACAGGTTTACTCCCTTGACACTTTTAATAATTTATACAGCATCTCTGAACCTTAACAACTCATCACTTACCTCAATACTCTAACAAGTTTTTAACTATTTATAACAACTTATTAACATACTGTACTTTGTTTGCCTTAACATACCCTATCTATACTTAACTACCCACCAATACATTTATCTACGGCAACTTGTTAACAAAATTAACCTACCTTAACTCATTACCATACTTCTTAGGTAACATGAACATTGTATCTACCAACCTACTGCTGTACTGTACTGCATCATACTCTGTACTATCATTATTTCTTGGTAATTTTATGATCTTGTGAATCTGTCTGTCTCTCTTTACATAAACATTGTATAAATATTCTTCCTTTACCTTATCAACATTTTCTATTCATAAAACACTGCAATGGAGCCCTGAAACTGGCATCACTGGGTTTAGGGCTTCACTATGGCACAATGAGGTCCCCAATACAATCACAGAAGCCTGTACCCAAGGCCCTTTATACCAGTGTCAACATAGCCCTGACAGCACAGTACCTCCCACATCTCATCACAAGTACCTGTTAGACTGTTGGTGTTTGGGAGCCGTGACGATAGCGAGGGCATGGAGGACCTGAAGGAAATCTAGGGCGGAGGTTGACTGTAGATGCCACGACAGCTTGTCCAGCAACACCCGCTCCATACGCAGCAGCTCCCGGTGTGAGCACTTCATACCTCCCAGCTCGACCACCTCTATTGTTGCTGGTACATTCTGAGGGCATGATGAAACACAGAAAACATGATTAGAGATACTGTATACAGTACATATACTGTACTAAGAATATCACTGTATTATTAATTTCCCATTCTCTTATCCAGTATTTCACAAAGACATAATAACATGAAGCTACAACACAGAGCAATAAATCCATGAGATCAATCAACATTTTGACTCATCTGTGACTTCCAGCTTTCTTCCCCAGAATCTCAAGTACGGTATAGGCATAGATAACTGAGGGCAAGTTAAGTCCACATGACACCTCCCTGGACACCCGCCCTCCTGGTTGGTTGGGCTTTAAGCCTATCAACTACCAGGGTCATTAAGGCCATCAACATCAAGTTACATCCACCAAACTTAACTCCTTCTTCAGGTGTTAAGGATAACAATAAGACCACATACACTATCACCATATAATGTATGTGGCCCTTGACTTGCACCCTCCTACCTTACCCGGGTCTGCCTTGGGCTCACAGGTATGGTAGTAGGAGGAGTGGATGATTACTTTTGACTGTGACTGTACATCGTGCAGTGGCATGATGATTGTGTTGTATGAATTTCTAGACACTCACCTCATCTTCCTCGTGGATCTTGGCAGCAAGGAACACGGCAGCGGCGGCGACAGCGTGTAGGTAGCGAGGGGGGATCCTGACGCGGTGCAGCAGACGGTCTAGGAGTGCCGCAGCGATGAACCGAGTCTCAGATGCCCACCCTAGCCGACCACACGCCTCCCTCAGCCACTGGACCTCACCATTACGGGCCCCTACATCCACCTCTCCACCCTGTAACATTATATAAACATTAGCAAACATTTTAATTACTAGACCACTTTCTATCCTTACTCTACAAAGTTTTCTTTTATAATAATAATAATAATTTACTACATGAATACTGTATTTGACAGGTATATGTTTATGTCTTCAAGATAGATTTTGTAATTAGAGATAGAGAGAGAGAGAGAGAGAGAGAGAGAGAGAATAATAGTAATACCCTTAACAAAAATGTGAGTTGTAAACTATTTTCCTCGGTAAACCAAACCAGACATGGGGTAATAGTAATAGACCATTACAGGGTTTTTAACGTAATAATAATAATACAGTATAAAAATTTTTTGGCTGTAATAATGTTAGAAACCAAAGTAATAAATAACAGTCTATTAGTCATTCAACAGTTTTCTTTGACAAGGGAATAACAAAGCCCAACCATAACATACATGCTCGTTTGTAACACACCAACAATCCCTACATATCTGTATTATAATATTATCCACAAGAATATATTACTGCAAAATGCTGATAAAATAAGAACTTACTAATGATTATGCAAGAAAAATACTATCTGGCAACCATAGCTCCTGCAACTCCAGGCTCCAAGTGTGGTGACTGGCTGTGTTGATAGTGTACAGTAGTTAAGTAACCAAAAGTAACTAATAGATGACCAAGGATAGTAATAATAGTAGTAGTATAGTAAAGCGAAATTAATAATAATGGAAACCCAGTAGTAAACGATCACAGAGAAAAAAACGGGGAAAATTATAAGTGAGATCAGAATTGTATATGCCTCGCCCCATTATATTAACCAGTTGTAGAGGATTAATTAGGACATATTAACAATACCAATAAAATTATAGGTAGAACTGGGACCATAAAAGCAGTAGAGAAAGATGACTGTCGGACTGTGCAGGGCTAGACACTGTACAGTATCATAAGTTTCATCTCGATTCGCAAACCAAATTCGGCCTTAAGAAAATAATCCTAGGTATGTTTCTACTCCCTATATCTTTCTCCCCTCTGAGTGAGTGAGTGAGTGAGTGGGGTGACATACAAGCAGACCAGGAGGATGTAGAACGAGTTGGAGGGCACGTCAGCAAACAATGGGTTGGGTGGTCACTAAGTCCTGTGTCCGCTACCCACTACTGAGTGAGTGCGTGCCGGGTCACACTACCTTCAACACGCTCCCTTAATCCTTCCCAAACACTTTTTATCAACTTTACCCACTGACTCACTACACTTCAACAACGGGAAAGGCGTACAAAATAACCACTTAAGTAATTTATTTGTGGATATCGTTGCCACCTAACCCCCCCCGAGGCAGCATTGGCGAGGGGGGGGGGAGGGGGGGTGGCAAATCTTCAGGTAAGAAAAATTAATAATCTACCTGTATTATAATTAATTACTGCAACACGTGTTTCCTTTATACATACACTCACTACAACCATTACCATCACCACTACTACCAGCAACAACCACCACCATCGACTACTCTGCATATACTGTACTACCATACATCTGACATCATGTTAAAGTTATGTAACACAATATTCACCGAAGATAAATATTTACTTCAAACAACATCACAGAATATAAAGATAAAATACATACTTATAAATAAATCGAATATATATATATATATATATATATATATATATATATATATATATATATATATATATATATATATATATATATATATATATACAGTATACTAGTGAAACCTCTATATAACGGACTTATCTTGTCATATAATACGTTAGATGGAGGTTTTTACATCTAACGGACCCTCGATATAACGGACTTTCCTCTCCGCAGTCCGCTAAATAGAGGTGTTTCACTGTAGAGGGAGGTACTACCGCCTGGGAAGATATTGGAAGCATGTGTTGTCTAATGGTAGACCCTGCTGCCGTATGTGACCAAGTCCCAGGTTGCCGATCTGACTTCCTGCCTCAATTACATACAATTGTTTCTCTTGGACAACACAACAAATAATCATAATGTATATAATTTCTCACTCGACTTATTTTTTCAATTTTGTATTTATTTATGGTTATTATTTTGATTATTTGTATTATTTAATTGGATTAATTTGCTATTAATTTTATTAATTGTTGTAATAATAATGATAATAGATATTATCATTATTATTATTATAATTATTATTTAGTATTATATTTTCGCCCCCCTCAGGCCCTGATGTGGGTCATTACCTGTGCTCGGGTGGGCTAATGCCCGTAAAAGAAAAGTAAAAAATAATAATAATAATAAGATATATATATATATATATATATATATATATATATATATATATATATATATATATATATATATATATATATATATATATATATATATATATATATATATAAAAACTAGCTTAAACTCTCGACTAGGGGGAGGAGACAATTTCCTAGGGAAAAAAAATCTTGAAACGAAACATCTGTTCTCTACCAGTTACACCACCCACCACCTAATCCTACCACTACTACCACCACCTAGTCCCCCTTTTTTAAATAAAATGGCCTCCAGCCTCCCCCAATAGCCACACCTTCACCGCCATTTTATTACCTTAAAATTAAATATCCTAATACATAAGTAGCTATCCTAGCTGTGTTGAGTTAGTTAAGTCTCAGATCTATGCGGCATTCAGTGACTGTAGCCTCATAGTCAATATCTGCAACTGTTGTCGGCTTTGGGGGCCGATGCTCTCGTTCCCCTGAGGCAGAGCAAAGCCGACCTAAGGAGAGAGAAGGCCAGTCGACATCTCATCCAGGCTGTAACATAACTTCTGGGCTGCTGCTTCCGTCCGGACAACACCACCTAACCCTACTTCTACCACTATTCATCATCACAACACATTCGTCACAAATGCCGCGTAATGGAGTCAAAATTTTTACTGTTCAAAACTCAACAAAACTTAAACCTCACTTGATTCTTCTTACAGCTGTTCTTCTGCCGTCACGTGTGAGAGAGAGAGAGAATTACACATTAACAAACTGTCTGATGGTCTTGTTGGGGAGGAGGGCCCGAGAGAGTGAGAGGATTCCTTCCGTATTTACTGCTAACAGTATCATGGCTGGGATTTACACCACGTGAGTCACTTGTGTGGGGTTTAAGCTAGGATTTACACCATATGAGTCACTTGTGTGGGGTTTAAGCTAGGACTTACACCATATGAGTCACTTGTGTGGAGTTTAAGCTAGGATTTACACCATATGAGTCACTTGTGTGGGGTTTAAGCTAGGACTTACACCAGCACTTGTGTGTTTGCAGACTACACCATATGAGTCACTTGTGTGGCTAGGACTTACACCACATGAGTCACTTGTGTGGGGTTTAAGCTAGGACTTACACCATATGAGTCACTTCTGTCAGGATTTAGGCATTTGTCACTTTTTGCAGGATTTTAACAAGAATTTATTATATGGATTAATAATCACCTTGGCGAGAGTATTTAATTAATTTCGTTTTAATTCACCTATAATACCTTTCAAAGCCATCTTAATTAATTTTATAGTTTACAAAATAAATCATAATTGAAAAATAAATAACTCGGGTACAGGTGACGACAAAGAGACCAACAGGTAAATAAATATTCACTGGTAATATGCCTTCACTACACACCCATTGTTTACTACAGTCAGTCCCAGAAGAGTGAGGGGAGGAGAGGAAGAGGGTGAAGGGGAGGAAGGAGAGAGAGAAGTAAGGGGAGAGAGAGAAGTAAGGGGAGGAGAGAAGTAAGGGGGAGGGAGAGAGGGTGTTGATGACCCACATGTGAGGTATACACCAACAGCGGCAGAGGTGAGAGAAGCCAGTTGCCACACCGTTATCCTGCCCTTGGTGCGTCGACAGATGGTTCTCCCCCCCTCCTCTCACCCCACTACAATACCTCCCCCTCCCTCCTCTTCCTCTCTCCATGGCTATATATCTCTAGACATTATCTCCTCCTATTCTATACCTCCTTTCCTCTCTCTCCTTCTCTCATCCTTCCCTCTCTCCCTCCTTCTCCTCTCTCTCAACCTTCCTTTCCTCCCCCCTTCTCTCATCCTTCCTCTTTCCTCTCCCCTTCTCTCTATCCTTCCTCTCCCCTCTCCTCCTTCTTCTCCTTCCTCTCCATCCTCTTCTCTCCTCCTCATCCTTCCTCTTCCCTCTCCTCCCTCTCTCTCTCACTCCTTCTCCTCTTTCTCCTCTTCTTTCCTTCTTCCTCTCTCCTCCTCCCTCTTTTCCTCTCTTCCCCTTCTCTCTCATCCATCCCCTTTCCTCTCCTCCTCTTTCTTTCATCCTTTTCCCTCTTTCCTCCCTCCCTCTCATCCTCCTTCCTCCCTTCCCTCTCCCCTCTTTCTCTTCCCCCTCATCCATCCTTTCCTCTCCCTCCTCTCTCATCCTTCCTCTCTTTCCTCTCCTCCTCTCCCCATCCTCTCTTTCCTCTCTCCCTTTCTCATCCCTTCCTTCCCTCCTCCCTCCCTCTTCTTCCTCCTCTTCATCCTCTCCCCTTCCCTCTCATCCCTCCTCTTCTTCCTCTCCCTTCTCTCATCCCTTCCCTTCTCTCATCCCTCCTCTTTCCTCTCTCCCTTCTCTCATCCATCCTCTTTCCTCTCCTCCCTCTCTCATCCTTCCTCTTTCCTCTCCTCCCTCTCTCATCCTTCCTCTCCCCCTCTCATTTCCTTCTTCCCTTCTATCCTCCTCCACCAAACCGTCAACAGCACCTAACACACTGCTGTTACATGAGCCAGTTAAACTAGCCTAACGGTAATCACCTCTGCTATGTTACAACACACCCGTCACCTGTGCTGCACTACAATACTGACTAATATATCCTTTATACAACCTTGACCTAACCTAACATGACCTGATCTAACCTAACATGACCTGATCTAACATGAACTGACCTAACCTAACATGACCTGATCTAACATGAACTGACCTAACCTAACATGACTTGATCTAACATGAACTGACCTAACCTAACATGACTTGATCTAACATGAACTGACCTAACCTAACATGAC